AGAGAGAGAGAGAGAGAGAGAGAGAGAGAGAGAGAGAGAGAGAGAGAGAGAGAGAGAGAGAGAGAGAGGTCGTATCTAATGTGAAGGACGGCTGGAAAGGGAGGCACAAGAAGAGGTCGTTGTTTAGTTGGTGCAGGAAACAAAAGGATCTAACGTGACGAAGACCGAGAAGAAGAGGTCGTTCTTTTGGAAGAGGTTGTTGTTTGGTTGACGTGACGAAGACTTAGAAGAAGTCGACGAAGATGGCGAATCAAGGTAAGTTCTGTTCTTTTCTTGAATGGGACTGGAATTCGAGATTGGGGAAGGACGTGACTCGGGAGCGGGACTAACGAGAGTAGTCAGGATTGAAGGGAGGGGAGGGATACGGGATTGGGGAGCAATCGGGATCGCGTATGAAGGAAGGGAGTCGGGATTAGTTGGGAAGAGCGCGGGACTCGGGATGGGGACTAACGAGAGGAGTGGGGATTGGAGGAAGGGGAGGGATGCGGTATCGGGGCGCAAGCGGGACTCGGGATTGGGACTAAGGAGAGGAGCGGGGATTGGAGGGAGAGATACGGTATCGGGGCGCAATCGGGATCGCGCATGGAGGGGGATGGGACCAACGGGGGCGGTCGGGATTGGAGGGAGGCGAGGGATAGCGGATCGGGAAATGGGATCGGGGCGCACGGGCGGGGAAGGAAATAGGAGTCGGGATTGGTTGGGAGGGGGGAGAAAATCGGGACCGTGCACGGGTGGGGGAGGAGCGGAGCGGGACTCGGGATCGGGACTAACGAAAGAGTCGATATTGGAGGGAAAGGAGGGATAAGCGTGTAGCGGGTCTTGCGGATATGGGATCGGGAAATGGAATCGGGGCGCAGGGGCGGGGGAGAAAATGGGAGTCCGGATTGGTTAGGAGGGGGGAGGAGATCGGGATCGCGCACGGGTGGGGGAGGAGGGGAGAGGGAGTCGGGATTGGTTGGGAGACGGGACGAAATCGGGATCGCGCACATGGAGGGGAATGGGACTAACGGGGGGGGTCGGGATTGGAGGGAGGGGAAGGATGGCGGATCGGGAAATGGGATCGGGGCGGGTAGGGAAGGAAATAGGAGTCGGGATTGGTTGGGAAAGGGGAAGGAAATAGTCGAGATTGGTTGGGAGGGGAGTGGAACTCGCCAGCCATGCACGCAGAGAGATAGAGAGAGGCTACTTGGAATACGCACTGCTTTCCAGCCATGCTACTTCCATGGATACTATGAGCAAAATGGAAATGAATCTTCCGCTAAAACATCGAAATTTACACTGGCACTGTTTTTAGTCTTTTTTCTTTTTTTGTATGTGTGTGTGTGTGTGTGTGTGTGCGCGCGTGTGTCACAGACAGAGAGAGAGAGAGAGAGAGAGAGAGAGAGAGAGAGAGAGAGAGAGAGAGAGGGTTTTGCATTGATTGGTTGTGCACCGGCCAACAGGTAAGTCTCCATCAGAGAGTGGTGCTGGATCCATTTGTCCTGCCCTAATTGGGAGCAGGGGCTGCGGAGACACTTAGGCCTTCCTGGTGCACATGGTGGACAGGGCGAAATTGCCTGTCCTGTTCCACATCATAGAAATTGGTTTCGTCTACGTGCTGACTTCCCACTTGCTCCCAATCCCCCCCTGCTACGGTTGGTAGTGGGTTGGCCTAGCTATGGTGCTAGGCGGGGTGGGTGGCTATGGCCACTTCGCTCGGCTGCGTGCCGGGGTGGTGGCTGGGAAGGCCGGTTCTCCTGAACCGACGGCGCTACGGCAGAGCGCTCCGCGCCGGTCGTGCGCCTCTCCCCCATTCGGAATCCCTTGACCAGTTTCTGCGATGCCCATTACGAAGATCAGTGGCCGAAATAAAAAATCCAAGGTATTGGGACTTGGCCCTGGGACTCGAGCGAGCTTTCTGGACATCCACGTGGTCACTAGCAAACGCCACTTCCGGATGTCTCCCGCTCGCCACGTGGATTGCTGCCTGCGGAAGAAAGGCCCTTTAAAAAAAAAAAAAAAGAAAGAAAGTCCTTGCCTGTCCGCCGAGAGAGGATCCTGTCCGCAGAAAGGAACTGCACTTTGCACGCCTCGTAGGGCATCGCCACACCACTCTGGAAATGTGCAAAATGACAATGAACTCCCCGCTAGATCCTGGCCAGATGCACCCCCCACATTTTTGTCTTTTGCACACTTCGAGAGTGGTGTGGCGAGGCCCTTAGCTGCCAAGCAACACATTTTGGTCCTCTCTCTCTCTCTCTCTCTCTCTCTCTCTCTCTCTACCACGTCGCAACACATTTTGATCCTCTCTCTGTCTCTCTCTCTCTCTCTCTCTCTCTCTCCCACACACACATCGCAACACACTTCGATCCTCTCTCTCTCTCTCTCACACACACACACACACACAAACACATCACAAGCGGAGTTATTCTCCAGAACTTAACCGATGGAATCTCGCGTTCATGAGGAATAGCTTCTGTTGCAACTGATGATTGCTAATTAAAGGGTAAAGCGGCGCTTTTACACGGCCGCCATTGGTTTGTAGAGGATTTGACTTTTCCACACTCCCCACTAATAATTAATACACCATTAAAGCTTCAACCGAAAAGTAAAACACCAGCGCCTATCAAAGCCGAAGTTGAACGAGCTCCGCCGTTCCTCCAGCAGGGGAGGGGTTGCCCAGCACTGCATACATCCCAGAGTTACACACACACACACACACACACACACACACACACACACACAGAGAGAGAGAGAGAGAGAGAGAGAGAGAGAGGTGCTGGGTAGAGTGATACGAGATTGATGCCTAACACACACACACACACACACACACACACACACACACACACACACACACACACAGAGAGAGAGAGAGAGAGAGAGGGAGGTGGTGGGTAGAGTGACACGAGACGGATGTCTAACAGAATATTGTCAGTTTAGAGGCGCGCCACACAGAGGCTTAACTTTCTCACAGATTGCACCGAGTGAGAGGATGAGTGCGGACCAGTGCCGGTGTGACCAGGCCCCGACCCAGACCCCAAAGAAAGATAGATCAGGGGCTGGTCACACGGACACGGGTCCACACTTGTTGGGGGAACGTGTGTGCCGATGATCGTCAGATTTGGAGACAGGAAAAGATTCTGAACCTGAAGCCGACGGTCACGGCTGCTGCTGCCATCGTGAGGCAGCCGTTCGTCCGTCGTTTTCAAGGCCCTAGTTGCACTACTCGCCATTTGCCAAGATTTCGAATGCATCTGGACAAAATGATATCCACATGCAATCAAAATGTTGGCGGATGGCGAGTAGTGCGACGAGGCCCTCACACGGTGTCGCTTTCGAGCGCGCAGAGCCATTAGATTCCTTGCGCCGTGACAGCGCCGGGAATTGACACGTGTCTGCCATCTGCCAATGAGCGTCTATAGACCGGCGAGCCGTCCTGCATACGTGAGAAGCCCAACAGCCCAACAGCTCCTGCGCCACAGACTGTCCGCGTTGCGTTTCGGACAGGACGCTGTTTTCACCTGCTTCAAGCCTTCAAGCAACGCCAGTGCAACCAGCGGAATCAGAATGAAGTTGTTGTTAACCGCTCCCACTCGCTCGTCTCACATGCGCACGGGAGCACACACATACAGAAGAGAGAGAGAGAGAGAGAGAGAGAGAGAGAGAGAGAGAGAGAGAGAGAGAGAGAGAGAGAGAGAGAGAGAGAAGCTGGTAAAACGCAGCGGCCTCATCCATCCAAAGAATAACTGTCCGTAATGACGTCTCCGACAACTTGTCATGCTTCATGATGCCAGTACTCAACACGCCCACAAACTCACCTACAACGTCTGTTCAACTGGGTGTGTGCGGAGCGTGTGCGTGTGCGTGTGCGTGTGTGTGTGTGCGTGTGTGTGTGTGCGTGTGTGTGTGGACACACACACACACACACACACACACACACACACACACACACACACACACACACACACACACACAGACACAGAGAGAGAGAGAGAGAGAGAGAGAGAGAGAGAGAGAGAGAGAGAGAGAGAGAGAGAGAGAGCTCGTACTGTGCCTTTCGTGAGACGATCTGTTTCACACGGACAACGTGTGTTCGACTGGGTGTGTGCGAAGCATGGGAGTGTGTGTGTTTAGAGAGAGAGAGAGAGAGAGAGAGAGAGAGAGAGAGAGAGAGAGAGAGAGAGAGCGGGGACGTGATATTGTGCGTGTCCTGAGACGATGACCTGTGTTTAGATCTAGATCGATCATTCCGTCTTCACCTTCCTTGTGCCTCTGTTCTCACAATACGTAAGACTTCACGGAGTAGGCAGTCGGGAGTAGGCCAGCCTGCTTCCTGAATTCACTGCCGCGCCAACACATCAACAAGGAGGAGCTGTAATCGTTGGACTGAGTACACTTAGTAGCGGAATGTAGGAACCTTCAGCTAGACTGGAAGTGTACTCTTGAATAGAATGTACGGTCATCATTTTATTGCTGTATCTAGACTCAAACTTGGCCCAAATACAGGTATAATGACAGTGCGTTCTATTGGGGTGAAGACGGTAGTATAGTCCGTCCGAAGTAAGCTTCCCACGATCCGGACGTTTTGACAGGCGGCACCACCAAGCGAGAGATTCAGTATTTTAAATTTATAATATAAATTACTAATTAGTAATTAATGCCCACTGGTTAATTTCAGCCTCGTCCGAGGGGCATCTACCCCCTTGAGGCAAGTGGATATATTTTATCATTTTCTTTGCCAGAAAAA